GCTCAGCTGCATCCACCTGCTCCTCTGATGGATTCTGCACCACCCTAGCCAGCTGCCCAACCGAGAAAGAGATGTCGGGCCTCGTGTGAACTGCTGCATACAAGAGGCTGCCCACCAAGGACTGAAATTGCTGCTGCTCCTCGGCTTCAACCCCTTCATCCTCTGCAGCTTTCACAAGCTTGAATTCTGCTGGCAGGGGAGTTGCAACCTTGCGCTCATTCTCAATTCCGTACTTCTCCCCAAGCTCCTTGATGAACTTCTCCTGGTGCAGCTTCAACCACCTGTGATCCACATCCCTCTCGACGTGCATCCCGAGGTAGTACTTTACCTCCCCAAGGTTCTTGCACTTGAAGTTCTCCATCAGCTGCTGCTGCACCTTCTGGATCTCCTTCATGCTGCTGCTAAAGAGAAGAATGTCGTCCACATAGGCCAGAAACAGCACCAGCTTCTCCCCCTCCCCCTTGAGAAAGAGGCTCTCATCACAGCTGCTGGTCCTGAATCCCATCTCCTCTAAAACAGCTGCCAACTTCTGGTACCAGCAGCGTGGCGCCTGCTTCAAGCCGTAGATGGACTTTTTCAGCTTGCACACCCTGCCCGTACCATCCTCATACCCAGGTGGCTGCGTCATGAACACCTCCTCCTCTAAAATCCCATTGAGGAATGCCGTTGATATATCCATCTGAATGATGAATTTCCCACTAACGGTTGCATCTGCCAACAAGACACGGAGGGTAGGGGGTTTGGCAGTGGGAGCAAAGATCTCATTGAAGTCCCGCTTCTCCTTGTGCATAAACCCCTTAGCCACCAACCTACTCTTGTAGATGGTGACCTGCCCCTTGTCGTCAGTCTTGATCCTTAGCACCCACTTGCATTGTACCGCTTTCTTTCCCTCAGGCAGCACCACTAGTTCCCAAGTCCCATTCTCTAGCAGGCTCTGGTACTCAGCATCCCTAGAAGCTAGCCATTTGTCCCTATCTGGTCCAGCTAATGCCTCCTCCATGCTAGCTGGTTCCTCTGGTGCAGGGGCAAGAAAACAGTACGCAGGCTCATCCTCCTCATCCGGGTCATAGCCATGCGGTAGAATCAGCAATGCCTCCTCAGTCCCAAGCTGCTGCTCCGCTACATCAGCTCCTGCAGTCAGCTTCTTAGTAGCCATACGGGTACGCCCTGGCCTGGAGACGGGTGTCTCCCATCCCTTCATAACGATACCCTTTGGCTTCTTAGTTTTTCCCTTGCTGCTGCTCTCCCCCCTCAGATCTAGCAGCTCCACTAGTGCCAGTCTCCATATCATTTTCTCCACCAGCAGGTGCCTCCTGTACCTTCTTTTCATCAACACCCTCTGCAGCTGCCTCCTCTCCCTCCTCCCACGCACTAGGAGTCAGGTCCAGCTGCATGGTGATCTGCTCCATTTGCTAGGACACCGTGGCCTCCGGCTGTTTCTCCCAGCTCCCATACATCATGCCCTCAACAAACTTCACATCCCTGCTGTCAAACAACACACCCTTGGAAGGCTCCCACAGCAGCCATCCCTTGCTCTCAGCAGCCAGCCCCAAATGCACACACCAGATTGCACTCGCCCCCAACTTACTGCGGTAGGTCTTGGGGACGTGGGCGACATCCATGCAACCGAACACCCTCAGCATGTCCACCGGCAGCTTCCTCCCAAGCCACCTCTCCAACGGCACCCACGAGTCATCCCCAACCTTTGTGAGTACCCTGTTCCTAGCGACGGTAGCGTGCCGAACAGCATGGGGCCACATCAAGTTGCCCAGCCCAGATTCTATGAGCAGCGCCCTAGCTGTCTCCAGAATTGTCCGGTTCGCCCGTTCTGCTACACCGTTGGACTATGGGGTGTAAGCCGTGGTTAGCTCCCTCTGGATGCCCTGTTTCTTGAGCCAGGCCGTCATCTCAGCTCCAAGGAACTCACCACCCCGATCTGTCCTAATCCGCTTCACCACACACTCCGCTTGCTTCTCCACTAACGGCAGCCAATCGTCCCGAATCGTAGAGGCGGCGTAATCTTTCTGCTTCATTGGATACGCCCACATTAGCCTGCTCCAATCATCCACTATGGTCAGAAAGTACCGCTCCCCATTGTGCCCTTGCACCGGCAGCGGCCCCACCAAGTCCATGTGGACCAGCTCCAACGGCTTTTTGCTCCTGCCAGCCACACTATGGAAGGGGAAACGGGTGAACTTTGAAAGGAGGCAAATTTCACAGTTATCATCGGGTGGTTGTCCATTCAGCTTCAAGCCCTTAACGGCTCCATCCTTCTCCAGCTGCTTCAGCAAAGGCATTGCCACATGCCCCAAACGTCGGTGTGCAGTTGCCCAATCCGTCTCCCCAGATCTGGCCGACACTTTCACACCAACCCCTCCAACGGCGTTGCACTCCCCCTGGGATGCAGACCCCTCTCCAGCCTGCCCCCCACCATGCCACGTAAACGCCGGCAGCTGCCACATGGATCTGTACACGTCCGTACTCTCGTGCAGATCCCAAAGCACCCGATTGCCCAGCTGCCCCTTGTAAGTGCGTGCCCCATCCGTGCTAGTGCTCACCCCAGCCTTGCCAAGCTTACGGAGGGAGATGAGGTTGGCCTTGAGTTCAGGAACGAGGAGAACGTCGTGCAGCACCACCGGCTTGCCATCCGCTCCCTTAAACGCAGCTCGTCCCGCACCAGCCACCTTCAGCGCCTGTCCAGAGGCGGAGCACACCTCGTTGATCGGTGCAGCTTGTACGTGGTCCAGCAGGTCTTTTCGCGGCGTCATCGTCCAAGCAGCGCCCGTGTCCAACACCCAATAATCCAGGGGGTGCAGCTCTGCTCCAACCTTGGCAGAGGCGTCTCCTTGCTCCCCCTTGTCTCCCATATGGAAGAATTGGCCCGCGGTGCGCTCCTTCTTCTTCTCCGCACCGCCGTTGCCCTTCGGGTTGTTGTCGGACGAATCAGCGACCATGTTGGCGCCGTTTTTCTGGTTCCTCCGCGCGCCGCCATCCTGGTGACGATTCTGGGGGGTCCATCCATCGGGTTTCTTATAGCACAAAAACCAGGGGTGCCCTTCTTTCTCACAATACCAGCAACTCTCTTTCATTTTGCCACCAGCACCCGACTTGCCCCCACGTCCAGATTTCGCACCGTTACCCCAACCGGTACCTCCTTGTTGGTCGTTGGAGTCGTCGTCTTTCTTTGCACCGCGTCCAGCACCACCGAAGCCACGTCCTTTGCCACGTCGGCTCCCTTGCATCCCGTAGCCGATGCCGCCGTCGTTGTCAAATTATAGTATTGTGTAGGCTATAGTGGGGTAGCCCATATGGGGTACACATTTCTAGGGTTGCATATTTGTATCACTTCCATTCCTTAGTCATTCCATTCTCTTTCTACTTTCCTCATGGTATCGAGCAGGTTCCCCCGTGGGAACTGTGCCTAGGGCCCACCACATCGATCTTTTTTTCTCCTGCCCGAAGTGCGCGCAGCCCGAGTCGCGCTCCGGGCTCTCACCTCTTCAAGACGCCCTTCTCAGCGGCCCCGCCGCCCTTCTCAGCGGCCCCGCAGCCCTTCTCAGCGGCCCCGCCGCCCTTAGCTGCGGCCCCATCGCCCCACATTGCGGCCCCGCCGCCCTTCTTCGCGGCCCTGCCGCCCTTCGCTACGGCCGCGATGCCCCTCGTCGCGGCCCCGCCGCCGTTCGCTGCGGCCCCGCCGCCCGTCTCAGCGGCCCCGCCGCCCTTCTTCGCGGCCTCGCCGCCCTTCGCTGCGGCCCCGCTGCCTCACGTTGCTGCCCCGCCGCCCTTCGCTGCGGCCCCGCCGCCCGTCTCAGCGGCCCCGCCGCCCGTCTCAGCGGCCCTGCAGCCCGTCTCAGCGGCCCCCCCACCCTTCACTGCGGCCCCGCCGCCTCTCTCACTGCGGCCCCGCCGCCCTACTCAGCGCCCCCGCCGCCCTAGACTGCAGCCCCGCCGCCTCTCTCACTGCGGCCCCGCCGCCCTACGCAGCGGCCCCGCCGCCCTTCACTGCGGCCCCACCGCCTCTCTCGCTGCGGCCCCGCCGCCCTACTCAGAGGCCCCGCCGCCCTTCTACTACGGCCCCGCCGCCCTTCTCAGCGGCCCCGCCGCCCTACTCAGCGGCCCCGCCGCCCTTTCCAGCGGCCCTGCCGCCCCTTCACCAGCGGCCCTACCGCCCTACACCGCCCGCGCCGCCTGAGCCGCCCAAACTGCCCGAGCCGCCCGAGCCGCCCGACCTGCCCGAGCCGCTCGAGCCGCCCGACTCTCCCGAGCCGCCCGAGCCGCCCGACCAGCCCGAGCCACCCGAGCCGCCCGAGCCGCCCGAGCCACCCGAGCCGCCTGAGCCGCCCGAGCCGCCTGAGGAGCCGAGCCGCTGGTGCCACGGAGCCGCAGTTGTTGCTGTGCCATCCGAGCAGCCATGTTGCCGTGCTGCTGTACTGCTGAGCTGCCCGACCTGCCCTGCCTGGTGAGAGCAGCGCTTCTGACACTGCACTGCTTCTGTCCTACAGTTGGTACTGCTAGTCTACTGCTGTCATGGCTACCCCCAGTGTCCTTGCTTTTGACACTGAGGGTCGAGCCATTGACTTTGAGGTTTGGGTAGATGACCTGCAGCTTTTCCTATAGTGCGATAGGGCAGACGGTCTCTCCCTCTTTGACCACACCTCTGGTTCTTCCCCTGCCCCTGCTGCCGATGCCGACGCCACTGTTCGCTCCCAGTGGGCAACTCGCGATGCTGCTGCACGTCTTGTTGTGCGTCGCAACCTGCCTACCACTGAGCGCGCGCACTTTAGTCAGTACAAGAGTTCTCAGACCTTGTACGACGCTGTAGTTGCACGCTACTCTTCCCCTGCCCCTGCTGCACTGAGCCGCCTCATGCTACCGTACCTCTTTCCTGACCTTGCTGCCTTTCCCACAGTCGCTGACCTCATTACGCACCTCCGTGATAGTGACACTCGCTACCGCGCCGCGCTTCCTACTGAGTTCTGCGCCAAGAACCCCCCCCCCCCATGTACATCACTCTCTACTATATAGTCACCCGCCTCCCTAACTCCCTTCGCGTAGTCAGGGACCACTTCCTCTCAGTCTATCCCACCACTCTCATTGTTGACCTCCTAGAGAAGGCCCTCCTAGCAGCGGAGAAGAGCATAGTCGCTCTAGGAGCCTCTCGTGGTGACCCTCGCACCCCCATCTTTGAGGGGTGTTCCCCTTCCTCCCTGTTGCCCTCTGTCGCCTCTGCTGCTGCGGCCGACCTCGTTGGTCTTGAGTCGGTCGGTGCGGCGTCTGCCCCTAGCGGGAGACGCCGCTCTGGCAAGGGCAAGGGGGGCAAGGGCGCGGGTGGAGCTAGCGGGGGTGGTGGAGGTGGCGGTGGAGGCGGCGGAGGGAGTGGGGGTGGCGGTGGGAGTGGTGGCGGGGGTGGAGGTGGCGGTGGCAGCAGCGGAGGCGGAGGCGGCGGCAGCGATAGCGGTGGGAGTGGAGGCGGCGGTGGTGGCGGAGGTGGAGGCGGCGGTGGTGGAGGAGGTGGAGCTGGTCGGGGTGGTGCTTCGCAGCGGAGCAGCTCCGGGGGTGGTCAGCGCCAGCAGCAGCAGCAGCAGCGTTCTCGGGACATCCCCCCTCCTCAGCAGCTCCGTGAGTGGTACACGCAGCGTCAGCGTGGTGGGGGTTTTGGCCCGTGCACCTACGTCCTTCGCTCCGGCGACCGCGCGGGTGAGCAGTGTGGGAGTGCCCACCCCACCCAGCGCTGCTTTGGCCGCCTGACGGACGCTTGGCGTCAGCAGTTCCCGGAGGCTAGTGAGATCCCCCGCTGGGGAGAGCTGTCTAGGGCAGGCGTAGCTATCTATGATCTTGACTTTGATGCTATCCTTGCTGCCATGTATGCTGTGACTATTAGTGATGAAGGTGACTGTTACCGGTGTTTCCCGCCCGACCCGGGCATTGGTACTGCTGCTCTAGGTGCTCGTGAGGCTGCTGCTCTAGGTGCAAGTGCGTCTGCGCCCTCAGGTGCTGGTGAGTCTGTGCTCTTAGGTACCACGTCGGCTTCGGCCTCCCTCACCTTCACACTTGACTCAGGGGCTTCTCGCTCCTTCTTTCGAGACCGCACCACACTCACGCCGCTTGGTCGGCCGGTTGCAGTCTCCCTGGCAGACCCCTCTGGGGGTCCTGTCCTCTCTCACTTCTCCACTGTCCTCCCGTGTCCGGCTGCCCCCTCAAGTACCTTGTCTGGTCTTTACCTCCCCTCGTTCTCTACGAACTTGGTGAGTGGTGCTGACCTGCAGGATACGGGGGTTCACCTGTTTACTCCTTCGAGTCAGCGGGTGACCCACTGCTCGGACGCTTGCACGGGCCGGCACCTGGCCACCTTTACGCGTCGGCTGGGGTCGAGCCTCTACACCCTGACCACTGGGTCCCCTCCTGTCCCTGCTTCTAACCAGGTAGCTGCGTCGGGTCAGGTGTTTGCTGCAGCGTCCAGGTCTGGTCCTGAATCTGCCCCCTGCTCGTGTCGCCTCCTGTCTCACGAGACTCTCCTGTGGCACCACGGTCTTGGTCACCCCTCCCTGCCTCGTCTCCGAGGCATGGCTTCCCGTGTCCTTGTCTCTGGTCTTCCCAGGTCCCTCCCTCCCCTTCCTCCGGGGCCTGGTCCTTCCTGTGTCCCCTGTGTCGAGGGGCGGCTCCGGGCTGCCCCTCACTCCTCTCAGTTTCCCCCGACAGAGGCCCCGCTGCAGACGCTTCACATGGACGTGTGGGGCCCAGCCCGCGTCCGTGGACAGGGTCACGAGCGCTACTTCCTGCTGGTGGTTGACGACTACTCGCGTTACACCACAGTCTTCCCCTTGCGCAGCAAGGGTGATGTCACTGAGGTGTTGATCAACTGGATCCGCGCGGCTCGTCTTCAGCTCAGGAGGAGCTTCGGCTCGGACTGACCTGTTCTGCGTCTGCACTCTGACCGAGGCGGAGAGTTCTCCTCTGGCCTTCTGCGAGCCTACTGTCGTGCGCGAGGCATCCGCCAGACCTTTACGCTTCCGGACTCTCCACAGGAAAATGGGATTGCTGAGCGCCGCATTGGCATGGTCATGGACGTCGCTCGTACGTCCATGATGCATGCGGCTGCCCCCCATTTTTTGTGGCCGTTTGCGGTTCGGTACGCGGCGCATCAGATCAACCTTCACCCCAGGGTCTCCAGGCCGGAGACCTCCCCAGCCTTGCTGTGGACGGGGAAGGTCGGCGATGCGTCTGCGTTCCGTGTCTGGGGATCTCGGGCGTTTGTCCGCGACTTGTCTGCGGACAAGCTGTCCCCTCGTGCTGCTCCCTGTGTCTTCCTTGGCTTCCCCCCTGACGCCCCTGGGTGGCAGTTCTACCACCCCACCTCTCGTCGTGTTCTGTCCTCCCAGGACGTCACGTGCGACGACTCAGTCCCATACTACCGCCTCTTCCCCTACCGCACTCCTTCCCTCCCCCCGCCACCGCACTTCCTTGTGCCAGGTCCCCCCCCGGTAGACCCCCTCCCCCCTCAGGGTCCTGCCCCTTCAGGTGTGTCCCAGGTAGACGCAGTCGAGCCGGTCGAGGTTGCTGGTGACTCTGGTACTGCTGCGGGTGCTGAGCCTGGGGGTGCTGACTCTGGGAGTGCTGCGCGCGTGTGTGCTGAGCCTGGGGGTGCTGAGTCTGGGGGTGCTGCGACTGGGGGTGCTGAGCCTGGGGGTGCTACGACTGGGGGTGCTGAGCCTGGGGGTACTGCGACTGGGGGTGCTGAGCCCGGGGATGCTACGTCTGGGGGTGCTGAGCCTAAGGGTGCTACGTCAGGAGCTGCTGAGCCTGGGGGTGCTGCGTCTGGAGCTACTGAGCCTGGTGGTGCGGAGCCAGCGGCCGCTGGACCTGCTCGTGTGGCGTCTGGCGGTGCTGGGCCTTGAGGTTCTCCGGGTGCTTCGTCTCGGCGGGAACCACTCTCTCCACAGGAGCTGCGCGAGTGGTTTGCCCGGCGCTGGAGGCGTACTGCTGGAGTTGGAGCTTCTTCGGCCGCTGAGGGTGCTAGTGCCACCGGTCCCGGAGGTGCTCGTCCTGGGAGTGCTGGAGCTGCTGGGCCTGCGGGTACGACTAGAGCTGGAGCTGCTGAGGGTGCTGGCGCTGAGGCTACTGCTGTCAGCCCCTGGGGGTGGTCCTACTTCGGGTGCTGCTGGTATTGCTGGAGGTCCTGCAGCTGGAGGTGCTGTTGGCGCTGGTGCTGCCGCTGAGGGTGTTGGTGCTGTCCCTGCTGTGTCTGGAGTCGCCGCGCGGCCTCGGCCATACTTCGTTCCGCTCCTTTAGCAGGTTCTTGGTCTCCCGCCTTCTACTGGTCCTCCTCCTCCCTTAGAGTGTCCACAGCCTGTCCAGTCACAGTCACAGTTACTGCCCGCCTCCCCACTGCCTGCTCCCTCTCCTTATAGTGGTCCTACTGGAGGTCTTGCTGAGCGTCGTGAGCATGCGTCTCGTCCCGCGTCGCCTGTTCGTGCTCCTCGCGCTAGTGGTCGCGGTTCGCGTCAGCGTCCTCCTCTTGTCCCTGGCACGCACCGGATGTCTCTGCGTCCGTCCACTGCTCCTCTGCGTGCCCCTTTGCCTTCTCCTCCTGAGTCCTCTCTTCCTGCCCTTGCCGACCCGAAGTCCTACTCTCTTCGTGCTGCCAGTCCTACCGTCACGCGTCTCCTTGCTACTGTCGTCACTGACCCCTCTTTTGAGTCCACTGCTGCGTCTGCTCTTTTTGCTGAGCTTGTCGACTTTGCTGCTCGCTGTCGTCTAGACTACGCTGCTAGTCTTGTTGCTGAGTCCGCGTCTGTCTGCCCTCCGTCCGTCAGGGGTGAGTGAGCTCTTGGCACGGACGTCCTTGAGGACAGGCAGGAGGTGTTCCAGTGTCTGGCTGCTGCTTCACCTCATCTCGCGTCCGTACTGCTTACCCCTGAGGGAGACCCAGATGCACTAGACATCTTGACTCCGCGCTCTTACGCGGAGGCCGTAGAGGGTCCCTACTCCTCTCAGTGGCAGGCACCTATGGATGCAGAGATGGCCTTGTGGAAGTCCACAGGCACATACGTTGACGCGGTTCCTCCTCCTGAGGCGAACATCGTCAGTGGCATGTGGATCTTCAGGGTGAAGCGGCCGCCGGGCTCTCCACCTGTCTTCAAGGCGCGGTACGTGGCTCGTGGCTTCAGTCAGCGGCAGGGAGTTGACTACTTTCAGACCTTCTCTCCCACCCCGAAGATGACCACTCTTCGGGTGCTGCTACACATAGCCGCTCAGCGTGACTACGAGCTTCACTCCCTTGACTTCAGCACTGCTTTCCTGCAGGGTAGCCTGCACAAGGAGATCTGGCTGCGCCATCCACCTGGCTTCAGTGGGACTTTCCCTCCTGGCACCCAGTGGAGCCTCCGACGGCCAGTCTACGGTCTCCTCCAGGCACCGCGCGAGTGGCACGACACACTGAGGACTACGCAGAAGAGACACACGTGCACAGACCTGCGTGAACTGCGCAGCTACCTTGGCTTGCAGATCACCCAGGACAGAGCACGCCGCACCATTACCTTGACTCAGTCACACATGGTGCAGCAGGTCCTTCAGCGCTTCGGCTTCACGTACTCCTCGCCTCAGGCCACTCCTCTGTCTACTCGCCACTCGCTCTCAGCTCTGCCTTCGAATGATTCCGTAGAGTCGAGTGGCCCGTACCCAGAGCTTGTTGGCTGCCTCATGTACCTGATGACCTGCACACGACCTGACCTTGCATACCCTCTTAGCATTCTTGCACGCTATGTTGCTCCTGGGAGACACAGACCAGAGCACATGGCTGCAGCGAAGAGGGTGTTGCGCTACTTGTGCAGTACGTGGGGCATAGGGCTAGTGCTTGGAGGGCGGAGTTCAGTGGTCCTCACTGGGCACGCGGATGCTTCTTGGGCTGACGACCAGGCTACGCAGCGGTCGTCACAGGGTTACACCTTCAGTCTTGGTTCCGGCTCTATTTCGTGGCGGGCTACTCGCTCGGCTTCTGTTCTCGGCTCCAGTTGTGAGGCTGAGATCTACGCCGGGTCCATGGCTGCACAGGAGCTTCGCTGGCTCACCTACCTGCTGACTCACCTTGGAGAGCCCCCTCGTTCTCCTCCAGTGCTGTACGTAGACAAGAAGGCCATGCTGGCCTTGTGTCGGGAGCAGCGCCTGGAGCACAGAACGAAGAACATTGCATTCCGCTACTTTCTTGCTCGTGAGTTGCAGCAGCGTGGTCAGTTGCGACTTGCGTACGTGGCCTCTGAGGCCAACACTGCTGATGTTTTCACCAAGGCACTTCCGCCTTGTGATCATCAGCGCTTCTGCACTCAGCTGGGTTTTGTGCCTGTCTTGCCTCACTTGCTCACCCCTTTGTTGGTGTAAGGGCCTAATAAACTCAAGCTATTAAGACTTTATCACACTTAAAACCTCTCCTCGGGGTCACCTCCAAGGGTCCTTGGGTGCCTGGTACAAGACCAGCCCCTATCCTCGGGTCCGAGTTTGTAGAGAGAGGGATCAAGAGGGACTTAGTCAAAACAGCAAGAGTACCTTGAGCGTCGCGCAGCGTATCGTGCAGACCGTCGACCGGATTAAGCTGAGAATTTGCTATATCGAAGCTCACTCTAAGAGCTTTAAAATAAGCCAAGTTGCCTCGCGAAAAGTTCTGCCATTACGAAGTTATGGCTCGGACAGCGTTAGCCTAGCGTTGGAGTGCTAGCATACTAGCGTTGACTCGGGTAGCATTCCGCCGTCGCATCGCGTAGAAAACGAAATTCCAGCAAGGAAGGAATTCGCTTGAATCAATTTCACTATATCCAGGTACAAACAGAGAAGGAATAAATAGTTATAGCTAGCAAGGACCTTGGGAATGAACCTGAGAACAACCAGGGATCATCCCAAATAATTCCAAGCAACAGAACCAACCTGGCTGGACAAAACAGCAGGTGGTAGGTTGGTAAACAACCTCTGGTTCTGTTTTTCCAACCTGGGAAAACAACAACCAGGTTCAGGTCCTAAAAACAGAACCTGTTTTGTCTTTGCCCAACCAGCCAAATGCTGGTTCCGCTGGTTTCCCCTGGCCCTGTAGCATGCAGATACAGACAAACAACATCCAACCTTCACCTAAATTGTACCCCTATAGTGCCTGCCCTGCTACACTATAGTCAACCAAACAAAACAGTACAATTTCGAGTTGGATAGAACTGAATCTGCGCAATCAAGTAAGTTGAACCGCAAAGCTTCCATCTTGGGTTCCTTTGCGAGCTCGTCCTTTCTGCTTCTACTGTTCATAGCGCGTACAATGTTATGCCGAAGCGCACATTGTGCGAGTATTTGCAAATGCTTCAAGCGAAAATTGCGAAAGCAAACAAACACACAAACATACCATTCACACCCAAATGCATTCGCACACGCATACTCGTACAGACGGCAGGATGTCGTGCAATGTGAATTTGCACCCAACACACTCCCCCTCAGCCTGCCGGCTGCATCCCCATCATTCCATACTAGTTCATGCTCATTCCACTCATGCGCACACAACGCCAATGAGACTCATCCGCAAGCCTCTTGGTGAGGAAGTCTGCTGGCTGCTGGTGAGTCTTGATGTAGATCGGATTCACCGTCCCCCTCTTCACCTCCTTACGCAGCCAGTGCCACTTGATACGCATGTGCTTATTCAGCCCATGAAGCACAGCGTTCCTGGCCATCCCAAGAGCTCCCTTGCTATCACAAAACAGCGGCGTAGCAACCTTTTGCTCCTGGCCAATCTCCTCCAACAGCCTCCTCAGCCAAATCACCTCCTTCACCCCATGGAACATCGCCATGTACTCTGATTCCACGGAAGAGAGTGCTGTCTCCGTCTGCTTCTTTGACCTCCAACTAACCGGTCCTCCCCCAACTACGCAGATGTATCCTCCCACAGATGAGGAATCCTCCTTCTCAGAGGCCCACGTAGCATCAGTAAAGCAAGTGAGAAAAAGCTTGCCTTCTCCAAGCCTCTCCCCCTTCTCTTTCAGCACCTCAACCCCTTTCTGCTTCACCTGTGCAGATGCGGAGTATTGAACTCCAATGCTTGGGTGAGAGTTCAGATACTTCACCACACGCTCAGCTGCATCCACCTGCTCCTCTGATGGATTCTGCACTACCCTAGCCAGCTGCCCAACCGAGAAAGAGATGTCGGGTCTCGTGTGAACTGCTGCATACAAGAGGCTGCCCACCAAGGACTGAAATTGCTGCTGCTCCTCGGCTTCAACCCCTTCATCCTCTGCAGCTTTCACAAGCTTGAATTCTGCTGGCAGGGGAGTTGCAACCTTGCGCTCATTCTCAATTCCGTACTTCTCCCCAAGCTCCTTGATGAACTTCTCCTGTTGCAGCTTCAACCACCTGTGATCCAGATCCCTCTCCACGTGCATCCCGAGGTAGTACTTTACCTCCCCAAGGTTCTTGCACTTGAAGTTCTCCATCAGCTGCTGCTGCACCTTCTGGATCTCCTTCATGCTGCTGCTAAAGAGAAGAATGTCGTCCACATAGACCAGAAACAGCACCAGCTTCTCCCCCTCCCCCTTGAGAAAGAGGCTCTCATCACAGCTGCTGGTCCTGAATCCCATCTCCTCTAAAACAGCTGCCAACTTCTGGTACCAGCAGCGTGGCGCCTGCTTCAAGCCGTAGATGGACTTTTTCAGCTTGCACACCCTGCCCGTACCATCCTCATACCCAGGTGGCTGCGTCATGAACACCTCCTCCTCTAAAATCCCATTGAGGAATGCCGTTGATATATCCATCTGGATAATGAACTTCCCACCAACGGCTGCATCTGCCAACAAGACACGAAGGGTAGGGGGTTTGGCAGTGGGAGCAAAGATCTCATTGAAGTCCCGCTTCTCCTTCTGCATAAACCCCTTAGCCA